AGCAAATAAAGCTCGAGCATTGTTAATGTTTTTGTTTATGACATCTGCAAAGAAAGCCTCTCTTGCTTGGTTTAGTGTTGAGTGTCATACAGGATGATTGGGATTGTCTGATTTGCTGTTTTTGCTAACAAGCAATTGAACGGCTGTCTAAAGATATCTTAGTGTTTTTCAACCCTGGTCCTCAAGGCACACTGCCCTGCAGGTTCTAGGCATTCCCCTGCTTCAGCACCCATGATTTCTACTGATGGCTGATTAATAGGGTTTTACCAAATTGCAATTATCTGAATGGGGTGTGTTGAAGCAGAGGAACATCTGAAACAGGCAGGTCAGTGTGACTTAAGAGTCACAGTTGAGAAATGCTGATCTATGTGATGTGCTGCTGTGTCTCTTCCTCCTTCAGGTTTCTGGGTCACCTGTATGCTGCTGAAGCTCTCATCTCATTGGACAGAATATCTGATGCAATCACTCACCTGAACCCAGAGAACATCAGCGACGTGTCACTGGGCATGCTTAGCAGCGAGCAGGACCAGGGTGTGTGGACTCTCACACTTCAGTAAACTACGCCAAACACTTTCTTTTCTTAATAATCGCTTCATATTTTATCTGCAGGACATGAGAAAGGAGATGAGCCCATAGAGCCATGTAAGTTGTCATCCTAGTGTTTGGTCCTGTCGTCCAACTAATGAAATGAATTACTGAACGTAGAGTGACGTGGCTCCCTGTGTGTGCAGCAGCTAAGAAGACGCCGCTGTTTTACCCCAGCAGTGTGGCAGCAGCCCAGGCCATGATGCTCTTCAACCTGGGCAGCGCCTACTGCCTGAGGAGCGAGTATGACAAGGCCCGCAAATGCCTGCATCAGGTACCCACCTCCACATGTCATTGCCTAATATTGCTGGAGGTCCTTTCACTGTGTGCCTCGCAAACTAACACTGCAACACAAACATCAGAAGGGAGTGAAGACCGCAGTACAGCAGCAGGCTTGGCCTTGTTGTCTTCAGATTGTTCCTGTTCTTCATTTCCTGGGTGGTTTTCTTGCGGGGTGGCGTGCTGCACGCCTGCCCCTTTTCTCTCCTCCCCATTTCCTGCCTATTCTCCATTCAGTTAAGGTCAGAGAATAAAAATGGATTTAAAAAACACAACACCACATTTGAGTGAATGAAGGGAGACTGGTGGTCCTTCCAAACTCCCACTCTCTGGCCATCATCTAGAGTAGGAAACCTGCAGGAATGTGGGCAGTGGGTGGTCTCCACTCAGAATGAAGGGACCCCCTCCTGAGGTCTGGGGGCTAGCTGCCCTGTGGTGGGACGCTGCCTTTAGTATAGAGTGTGACCTGCAGCATCGCATCCATAACGGTCACAGACTGATGGAAGCATGGATGAGATGGACAGGACAGAAAAACATTTCATATCATCAGCACAATATTTACTAATTATTTCTCCACTGCCAGATTTTCTAATATTTGCAGCTCTAACAGGATAACATGCATCACAAGCTGGCTGGAGGCAGCATTGACTTGAGGTGTTATTCAAGTCATCTGTTGAAAATTGTGTTTTTTCATATTGCATTCATATCACAGTATCGGCTTTTTCAAATGTTGTGCTGTCCTAGCCAAAGCTATACTAATCCCTAAACACTTCTAGTTTGTTACTTGCAAAAATACATCCAATTTTCTGTTTCTCAAAATTGGATATAAATTAAAATTAGGATAATCAAGTTTTGAAATTTGTTGATCGATGGAGAACCGTCCATAAGTACATTCTGGCATCCCAGACTAAACATAGCTAAAGTTAAACATAACCACTTCATGGTGTTGTGTATAACTGTCATATATACTGTGATGCCTTAAGTGAGCAAATTGAGCCTTTTGCTGAAGTTTTAGTTACTAGGCAGCAAATCTTAACTTATTGATACATTTCTCCATTTTGATACATTTGTGTTTGTCTCCATCAGGCTGCAACCATGATGAACTCCAAAGAGATTCCGCCTGAAGCCATCCTGCTGGGCGTCTACCTGGAGCTACAAAACGGTTTGCCTTTCTTAAAGCGTCTCAATCTGTTGAAGATTAAACCTTTTCAAAGTTTTTAAAATATACAGCAGCTTATTGCTGTTATTTGCTTCTTTACAATTTATTCTCAGTGTTTCTACTTAGTTTTTTGTTCATTACTGTTTGTTCTGTGCAGCTAGAAAAGGTTTTGGTCTGTTGAGCAGCAGGTCAACATCTCAGTAGATCACATTGACCAAATGAAGACCATAAATGCTTGTGATTTTTATCAGCTCAATGATTGCCAAGCTGCACACACTACCAGTCAGTTGCAGTAATGTCTGGAGATTTGAATCTTGCTTCAATCTTTGCCACACTTCAACGTTTCAACAGTTTGTCATCTACTATGAGGTCATCTGACAGCTAAACAAATTTGTGTCATGCAAATTTCAGGTATCCAGACACTTCCTCAGTGAAGTGGGCAAAGCAGATCATGATTTTTTCTTTCTTTGCTTCGTGTGTGGAGCTTGTGTTCAGAGGCAACTGTTTGAAGATCCTGTTGAAAATGAGTTGATGTAACTAAGAACTGATTTCAATACTTGTTTTCTTCAGTATTATACATGTGTTGCCATTGTTCCGTTTTTCTTATGTTCATTAGGCATCGTTTTCTCCACTGTGGCCAGAATCTGTTCCAGTCTTTTTTCAGCTGGACATTTTAATCCAGTTTTGATCTGGGTTTCCAATGATCGCTGAGCTTTTGTTATGTCTCCTTAGGAAACACTCAGCTGGCTCTACAGATCATCAAGAGGAACCAGCTGCTACCCTCAACCCTTCACAGGTCCTCGCCAGACCCTCGCAAGAAACCTTCCCAGCCCCTCCAGCTGCCCTCATCCTTCACACAAGTTCAACGGAAATAAACCTCTGCAGTCGCTTCAGCTGCCTGGAGTCACCCATCAGCCAGCTGTAATCTTTTTGAAGCTTCAGGGAGTGGAGGACCTGTCCAGCTGGGGTTAAGCTTCAATGTGACTGAGGAGTTTGTGCTGAAATGAAGAGACAATAAATGTATTTACTGTATGTGTGGTGGACTTCGACTAGTCATTTAGCTGAATATTCAAATTCAGAAACACTCCATTGATCCCAAAAGGAAATTGACCCTTTCTTGCATGAATTATAATCTTTTGTCAGGATTTTCTTAAGGCATGAAAATAAGGTGGGGACAAAAATTTTCTAGGATTTTTTTTCTAAGCGATCAATTATTTTCTCCAAATACAAAGTTATTTGGAAATGTCAAAATATGTTTGTTTTTTTCAGCTGCAAGAGTTTTCTACAGTAGAAGGAGGGACTGGGTTGGTTAGTATGCCCTTTTGTCTATCTGCCATATTGGATTTAACAAAATATTTCTTGCACTTCCAGTGGATGAACAGTAGGTGGTGTATGATGCACTAGTGTCCAGTTGTCTGTGTGCATTTACAACATAAAAATCCACAGGAAACATAAGAAAATGGCTTTTAGATAGCTGTCCATTGTAGTGACCACTATGTATGAAAGGTTTAGTATTGTAATTCAATTCTTCAGAGCTATTGTAGATGGCGGTGGCTGTTTGCAGGAAAGATCTCCTGTAGAGGTCTGTATTACAGTGAATCTGAAGAAGCCTCTGACTGAAGACACTGTTTTCCCAAGACAGTCTCATGAAGAGGATTGTCTGGGTTGTTCATAACTTTCTTGACCTCATGAAGAATCCTTCTTTGCCTCATCATCTCCAGAGGTTCCACAGTCGTCCCCAGAACAGAACCAGAACAGAACCAGCCTTCTTTATCAGGTTGTTGAGCCTTTTTATGTCCCTGGTTCACCAGATCTCCGTACTCGGCCTCTTGTCCATCTCTGATTCAACCAACAACTGCAGAGTCATCTGAGTATTTCTGCAGATGACAGAAGTCAGAGTTGTGCTGGAAGTCTGAAGTGTAGAGTGAAAAGGAACGGTGAGAGTACAGGGCCCTGTGGTGTTGCTGACCACCTGGTTAGACACACAGTCCTTCAGTCTCACAAACTGTGGTCTGTTTGTGAGGTAGTCATAGATCCAGGTGACTGTTGAGGACTCCGTCTGTGTCTTCTGGAGTTTCTCACAGAGCAGATCAGGCTGAATCGTGTTAAATACACTGGAGAAATCAAAGAACGTGATCCTCACAGTGCTGCCTGCTTTGACCAGATGACAGTGGGTTTGTTGTGTATGATTGCACCATCAACTACATCTCCATGGCAATAACCAAACTGCACAAGGGGTCTTGATATCTGCTTGTCAGGTGGGCCAACAAGATTATCTTTATTACCTTCATGATGTGGGTTGTCATGGCAACAGGTCTATAGTTCTTCATGACTGAGTTGTGAGTTTTCTTTGGTACCAGAACAAAGCAGGATGTCTTCCACAACAACAGAACCTTGACTTGGGTCAGGCTAAGGTTGAAGAGATCCTGCAGAATCCTACAGAGCTGCTCTGAAGCTTCAGGCCTTTAACACTCTGGGGTTGATACCATCTGGACTTGCAACGTTGTTCAGGTTCAGTCTCTCCAGCTGCCTCTTTACCTTAGCTTCAATCTAAACTTCAATTTTAATAGCTAATCTTATTTTCTAGCATACCACTAGACAGAAAACCTGCAGCACTGTTTTAGTTATATTCAAATCAGCAATTATTAGCATACCTGAGTCACTTATTTTATCATATCAGAAGTAGTGTTCCTCCTCACCATTCTATTTTAGGAACTGAAGCATCATATGAAGAGATGTGTATATTCTTGAAGGATGAGTCCTGCTGGTTTACACTTGGAACAGGGTTTGTTCATGCGATAGAACAATGGTGTTTTATTGTTTTCTACATTCTTAACTTAAACATACAGTTTCTGTTTGCTGTGTTTTCTAGTTTTACATTTATCTCTTATTTATAGATTGTGAATGCAAAACATTTCTCGGAGGTGAATCCACAGTAGCCACAAAACACGACTGTATATATATAAATTCTGAAGGATTGCCTCAGCTCTTCCAGTCCCAGGGGACACATAGGTCACCGTCCTGCATGACAGAGTAAAAGTGGGAGACACAGACGTGGAGCCCCTGCAGCAGTGGGGGGTGCTGCTCTATGAACCTCCTGCAGCAGAGAATCATGTGACTGGAGCTCAAGCTGGGCTCCTTGGAGAGGCCCCTCAGAGACAGCCTCTGGACACAGAGCTGCACCACTGCCTCCTCTTCCACCTGCAACCTTTACAAAATACACAGAAGAAGATGAATCAATGACAAAATTGATAAACAGGTGTGTGCTCTTCAAGCACAGGGGTTTAAGGTGGGCTCAGAAACCTGATGAGTCCAGATTGAGGGGCTGCCTCATGTGAAGGCTGCTTCCTTTCTTCAGATCTGTGGTCTGGTGCAGTGGTCCCCAATCCCCGGGCCACAGACCGGTACCGGTCCGTGGACCAATTGGTACCGGGCCGCGCAAGAAATNATTCAATTCAGAAGCAGGTTGCAGACAAGCCAGCAGCTAAGGGGCTGTGTGGATAGAACAAACCACTAATGTAAAAAGGGAAGTGGGCCACTCCACTGCTTGGAGTGACTTGTAGAAGTTTTTGTGTCAACACATTATGCAGTCAGTCAGAAATAGGCCTGTCACGATAACAAATTTTGCTAAGCAATTAATTGTCCAAAAAATTATTGCGATAAACGATATTGTTTCAAGACCTTTTGACACTGATTTAATGGAAATGATGTAATAATGCATGCCATTTCCTGCCATGGATAGATGCACTTTATTTTCAAAAGAACACATAACACTGGAACTGATGAACTAAAACAAAACCAAAAACAAAATGGATTCTCAGTCTCCATTAACAAAAAAACGTACTTGAATAAAAACTAATAAATACTGCATTCAACCAAAAGAGTGCAGATTATGAAGTCTGTATGTGCCCTTCAGCAATCACTAGACTTAAATAGAGAATCTGGGCACATCCGACTACCTAATGCAGTAGTTCACACTACAGGATTTTTTGCCCCCATTTTCCCCTTATGACAATCGTACAACGTTGGGCGTTCCAAGATTGTCGCTGGTGATTTCGTAACCGACCATCCTGTAGTGCAGTGGTTCCCAAACTTTTTCTCCTGGGCCCCCCCTGTGGTTTCCAAAATGGAGAGGCTACCTGGTTGAATGATGTGTGTGAGTGGTGGGGGGAGTGGGGGGTGATCGACTTATTTTGGGGGCAAAATGAATTGAAGTAGCTGAACATAGACAACATTGTCAGTAGCCTAGAGGCTACTTGTTACGCTTAAGGTGCTGTGTTGATATTAGCTAGTCATCATTTAGCTAACATTACCTGCATCCCAGTGACGTGCGGTCAGGGGAGCCACCTGTCATCGTGGAAAAATAATATATAATGATAAAATAATTTATATTGCTATTTTCACGCTGTGGTTTGTACTACAAAGTACCTATTTTTCATTTAACTTAACCAATTCTGATGATTTTTTCTTCAAAATCGCTAAATGTTTGCAGTTTCCCATTCCATGCTCGGAAGCGAAGTCGGTGATGTAGCAGCGAGCTGTAGCGTGCAGAACAGATTCGAGGTGACGCAGACAGTTGTTTTGCCTCAAGCCAGGGGGCGCTCATGATCCCAGACATTATGACTCCACAATTGCAGAGTAAGAGACAGTAACAGCGAGCTAGCAGCTAGCCATGCAGTAAAGTCAAGTGCAGCGATATATTTATAGTTTTCTCCTCTTACCACAGCAATCACTAATCAATAATCCCAAAGTAATCATTAAGCCTAAAACCATACTACTGCAACAGACTGAATGTTCTGCTCTTTGTGTGGGAAATATGAGTGTTTATTTTTTGTGGCGTTATTGTCAGTTGCTATGGCAACGAGTGTGCTTGTAGCCGCGCTGATACAGCAAGAGAGACGTGGTTTTGAGTTGTTCTTTAACGATTTTTCCCTTTGCTGTGGAGCACAGCACGAAATTAATGATATCTACGTCCAAGTTTGATTGCGTTAACGGAATTATTCTACGGCGGCAGCGTGGCTATGGATGGCATGTAATCCATCCATAGCCTTTTTGACCTCCAGCATTGTCCGCATGCGCAAAATTTTCTTATGTAAACAATAACTTGCATGGGGTCTAGATTTGTAAATCTGATTATGATTAAGTCAATGCCTCACCAGCTACGAATCTCACCGCACGTCACTGCTGCATCCAACAGCTTTACTCAACTCAGTCTTAGTTTGGAGGAAAAACTGTGAAAAGTTCTTTGCATTTTTGCTGGTTAGCTGCCATGATTCCAACACACCCCTGAGTGCAGCAGCAGCAGGTCTCCGTCGCTGCCACACAGGTGTAAACCCAGCGCGAGCGTCGTAGCGCTGATGTTGTTTAAAGGCAGCTCGGAAAAACAGGTTACGTGTTAACAGTGTCTTATACCGTTTTAACTGCTGAAAACAGTGACATAGGACACAGATAAGTGCAGACGCCCCTACTATGTCAAATTGACATAGGAATAACAGAAAGTTTGTCATTCTAAGGTAAAACTCCAGCGCATACAGTGTTCATCGTTGTTGGTTTTTTTTTTTTTTTTTTTTCGTTCATCCATACCGCTTCCCTCGCCCCTCTGCGACTGTACGGTGGGTTACGGTCGATCCGATCTAAATCAGGGGTTTTCCCCGACTGGGAGCTTAACGCAGCCTGTTGAATGTGACAGGTAGCCAATCAGAAAGCGCAGATTCTCCTCCACGCTTTCTGAGGGGAAATTACGGAGGGAAATCCCAAACAGCTGACACCGCGCAACCTGAAGTCCAACGGAGATCGGAGATGATATGTGGAAACAACATTAATATTTATTCAACATTTCGTGCAAAGAATATAGAAATGACAAGGGGAGGAGTTGGAGCCAAATTGCTACCGCAGTTGATGAACCCGGTAGGTTTTCAGCTGTTCTTCGTTAACGTGACATAAACGGGTTACAATGATTTTCATTCAGTCAGGACTTTATGCTGACTCTAGCCACATGCATCACAGGTAGATTCTAGTAAAGCATTAATGCCTGGTTTTAAAATTAGTTAACTGGACTTGTAGCCATTATTTTGTGCCCATGTGGCTGGACACCACACAGCACGATCGAACCCGATCGAACCGTTATATCTAGGATTTCTGTCAGCTAATGTGTGGTCTCTCAGGTTTTGAAAATGGGCTGACAGTCAGCCAACAACTCGTGTAGTGTGAGCTGGACATTACACTAAGGAAATGAGGAAGGGAGGGTCAGTGGAGAGACCGGAGTTGAGCCTTTTTTATTCAGTGTCATCAACAGAAAGAAAAACAAGGTAGGAAGAGA